ACCCCGAGCCCGGGCCCCATGCCCGCCCCAACGGCACGCGGCCCTGCACGCACGGCTGGCACTACGCCCTGCCCACGGCTGGCCTGCTGAGCAACCCGGTCACCCAGGTGCGCCCACCGGCCACTGCGGAGGGGGGCCCCACGCGGGAGGACTCACCGGTCCCTGCGGCCTGCTCCCGGCCCAGCCTCCCCCTCCCCTCCCCTCCCCTCGCGGCTTCCCTTGGCCTGGGGGCGCGGGTCTGGGTGAGGCATCACCAGTCCTGTCTGGCGGTGCGGCGGTGCCCACGCACCGCAGGCAGGTGTCAGACCTGACTCAGGCTCCGCCCGCACTGGGCCTCGGGCAGGATCCAGGCTGAAGGTGTGATCAGGCCTGGTGCTACCTCAGTGCCAAGAACATTTTGAGTAACCTGTGGCTCGGGGCTGTGCAGGGTGGCAGAGCTGCAGGCTTGGAGCCAGGGGCTGAGGCCGTCCGTTCCGTTTCTGGAAGGCCAGCCTCCCACCGGGTGGGGAGTGCCAGCTGGGTCAGAGGGCCCTGGGGTGTCACTCTGTTGTCTGGGTGGGGAGAGGGGGCCCCTGGCACCTCCCAGAACCACCACCCCTGCCTCCCCCTTGGCTGCCTTTGCGGCACCTCTCCGGCCAGTTGTGTGGAAACGGCGGCCTTGCCACACCCCTGCAGGCCTGCAGCCAGCGGGCACCTGCCGGCCCCTCCCCAGTGCCTCACTGACACCACCAGCCACACCAGCGTCGGCCACTGGGCAGCCCTGGCGCACTGTGCGCCCCACACGGCGGGGGCGTGCGGAGGGGGTGCAGGCGCCTGCCAGGAAGGGGCGGCTGCTGGGGTCACGGGCCCCCGGCGGGAAGGTGGGCGGCGGGGTCCTCCAGCCGGTTCCTGCAGCCGCTCTTGGGGGCGGGCAGGCCAGTGGCCAGCCCGCGGGGGAGCAGAGGGTGAGACCCATCCGGACGAAAGCAGGCGGGTCCCACTCTTGACCCGGCTGGGGGCTCCAGTCAAGCACGTGACAGTTCTCCCCCTCGCCCGTGAAGCCGCCGGTCACTGCCGCACAGCCTCGAGCCCGCCCCTGCCCCGCTGGGTGCCTGTCACAGCTTCTCTCCAGGAGGCGCTGGAGGGCCCCCAGCGCCCCCGCAGGGAGTGGGGGCTGCCGGGGCTGGCCCGCGGCCCCCTCAGTATCGCGCCTGTCCCGGCAGTGGAACCTGGTGTGTGAGGACGCGTGGAAGGTGCCGCTGGAGCAGACGAGCCACCTCCTGGGCTGGCTGCTGGGCTGTGTGGCCCTCGGCGCCGCCTGCGACCGGTGAGGCCCCCCCCAGCCCCGGGCCGCCGGCCCGAGCCGGCCGACTCCATCCCTGCCTGTCCCCACCCTCCAGGTTCGGCCGGCGGGCTGTGTTTGTGCTGTCCCTGGTGCTGGCCACGGGGCTGGGGGCCAGCGAGGCCCTGGCGGCCAGCTTCCCTGCCCTGGTGGCGCTGCGGCTGCTTCACGGGGGGGCCCTGGCAGGCGTCTTCCTCGCCCTCTACGTGGCTCGTGAGTACCGTGGGGACGGCTGGGCAACGGCCGGCAGCCCCCAGCACCCGGGGGGAGGCCCCTCCCGCTCGGAGGGTGGGGTGCTGCCAGCAGCAGGGTAGGCGGGGCTGGCGCCATCCTGTGCCGCACACACCCCCGCCGGTCTGGGCAGCCCCACCCCGGGCCTGGCCTCAGCCCATGTCCTCCCAGGCCTGGAGCTGTGTGACGCCCCCCACCGCCTGGCCTTCTCCGTGGGTGCCGGGCTCTTCCTGGTGGCAGGCAGGCTGCTGCTGCCCGGCCTGGCACTGCTGGCACAGGACTGGCGCCTCCTGCAGGGCATAGGTGCCCTGGCGACAGGACTCCTGCTGCCCTTCTGGGGGTAAGTGCGGGGGCGCCTGGCCTGCACGGGCATGGGACACCACGCGGCGTGGGACGGGGACCCCGGGCCCAGGGGTGGCCACGACCACCCGTCCTCTCCGAGCCCCCACCCCCACAGGTCCCCAGCGCTGTTCCCCGAGTCTCCGTGCTGGTTGCTGGCCACGGGGCAGCTGGCGCGAGCCAGGAGGGTGCTGTGGCGCCTGGCGCAAGCCAGTGGTGTGGACCCCGAGGACAGCTCGGAGGAGGGGCGCTCCCTGGCTGCAGGTACCGGCCCTGGCCGCTGGGAGGGCAGGCGGGGGGCCGGGGCCGGGCCGAGAACCCTGCTCACGCATGCTCCCGGCAGAGCTGGGTGTGCTGTCTGCGGGGGGCCCCCGGCCCCGCCACCACTCCGTCCTGGAGCTGCGGCACACACGCGTCGCCTGGAGGAGCGGGCTCATCCTGGGCTTCAGTTCGTGAGGAGCGGAGGGCGTGGGCGGGCAGGTGCTCCCCGTGGCCTGCGTGCGCGCGCCCACACTTCGCCTCCCCCCAGGCTGATCGGCGGGGGCCTGGGCGCCAGCTTCCTGCGGGGCCTGGCCCCGAGAGAGGCCGTCTACCTGCCCTACTTCCTGGCCGCCGGCCTGGAGGCCACCGCCGCAGTCCTGCTGCTCCTGACGGCAGACCGCTGGGGGCGCCGTCCGGTCCTGCTGCTGGGCACTTTGGCCGCCGGCCTGACCTCCCTGCTGCTCCTCGCTGGCACCCCATGTGAGTCTGGGGTCCTGGGCCTGCTCCCCGAAAGGCCCCTGGGGTCAGTGCCCTCCCGGGGTGCCTGTGTGGGCAGGGGGCACCAAGGGAAGCCTAGGCCCCTTGAGCTGAAGGGCTGGACGCAAGGCCAGGTCTGAACAGAGCCCGACACCTGACCCCGAGCCCCGAGCGCAGGTATCAGGGTGAAAGGTTGGGGACACTGGCCCGGCGAGTGGGAGGTCTTGGCTGCACGCCTGGAACACGGGCTGGCGGGCGGGGGGCAGGTGGGCTGGGGCAGGTGTGGGCACAGCGGGAGGTCAGGCCGCTGCCGCCACCTGGCAGGGCATTTCGGGAGGGTGCCCCGGGAGGGAGGGGGCGGCCCACCCTGAAGAGCCTGGGAGCCCCTCTCGTCCCCAGACCTGCCTGGCTGGACAGCGCGGACGCTCTCCGTCCTGGGGCTGCTGGCCTCCCAGGCCATGTCTGCCCTCAGCAGCCTGTTTGCAGCCGAGGTCCTGCCCACAGTGACCAGGTGAGCGGGGGTCCTGCCGCTCAGAGATTCTCCCCCCGCCCCGTCCCTTGTCCCTTCTGGACAGCCTGCCCGTGCCCATGGCCACAGTGGCTCGGGAACCCAGGAGGGCGCGGGGAGAGCTTCCGGGTGGGCGTCCCCTGCAGACGCCCGGGGCTGTCCCTGCTGGAGGTGGTGAGTTTGCTGGCCCCGGCCCCTGAGGAGCGCCACCCAGCCGCCTGCCCAGCCGTGCTCTCCCACAGGGGCGCGGGGCTGGGCCTCGTGTTGGGGGCCGGGTTCCTGGGCCAGGCGGCCGCCCCCCTCGCCGACCTGCCAGGCCGGCGCGGCTTCTTCCTGCAACAAGTGCTCTTCTCCTCCTTCGCCATCCTGGTGCTGCTGTGTGTCCTGCTGCTGCCGGAGACTCGCGGCCGCCAGCTGCCCGCAGCACTGCAGGACGCTGACCGCCTGCGCCGCTCCCCGCTGCGGGGCCGCCCCACCCGGGACCACCTGCCCCTGCTGCTGCCCACCCAGCCCCGGGCGGGCACACCCCCCTGCAGCACTGACCCTACCTGGACGTCCCCCGGGAGCCAGGGCCCAGCTGGGCCCGCAGCAGGGACCCCACCAGACAGCCCTTCTCCCCTCAGGGGACCCCATGGTGCCTGGGGCACGTGAAGGGCTCCCAGGTGGCGCGTGAAGGCAGATAAAGGCATCTGTGGGACTTCTCCTCTCCTGCGTTTTTCCTCGAGGGGACTACAGGGCCTTGGTGCCCTCAGGCCCGCCCCAAGGCCCACACTGTCCACTTCAGGGTGGGAGACAGAAGTGCTTTAATGGGCCGGGGCCATCTGCTGTGCTGGGGGTGGGGGCCGGAAGGGTCCCCAGGCCCGTGGTTGAGCCCCGCTCTGGGGGTCACCAGGTGGGCTGGCCACCTGGCCGAGGCCGGCTCGTCCCGTGGGCCGGACAGCTGTCCGGCCACCGACGGCAGGTCATGCTCAGCAGAGAGGCGGGGAGCCCGAGACGCCGCCTGCCCGCCGCCCCGTCTCACAGGGGGCCGTACAAGTCCGCCAGCCGCGTGAAACGGGGGCCCCAGTCCCGGAGGCAGCTGTAGTCCTGGTCCTCGTCCCCCAAGCTGGACAGGATGGAACTGAGCGTCCCTGCCACGGAGCCGTCCCCCTCATAGTCGTAGATGAGAGCCGTGTCGTAAGGGGGGACACTGGGGTCACTGTCCACCGCCTCCAAGCCCTGTGAAGACGCGCAGGCACTGAGGGCGCTGCAGACCCCAGCCCTGGCACCCCGCGCCCCGCGCCCCGAGTCCCGGCGGCAGGCAGAGCCCCGAGGGGCCTCTCAGCAGCCCGTCAGGGCGGGCCCTGGCTTTGGCAGACAGCCGGGGGCTGGTGGCCCCCGGCGGGGTCCAGCGAGCGGCCGGTGGTGCCTGTGGCCTCCCGCCACCCACGGCCACCAGCTGTGCAGCGCCCTCCCCAGGCCCCAGGGCTGGCGGGGAG